CGGGGCGAGGGAGGCGGCGGGAGCGTGGGCAGAAGGCGCGCCGCCTGAGGCCGGAGGAGCCGCCCGCGTCCCCGCCCGGCCCGCGCCTATGCGGCACTTGAAGGATGGCGAAGAGGTCGCGCAGGTGGGTGGCATCCCTTCGGCCCGGGCCTGTCCGCGCTGTCCCGGCTCCGATTCTCCTTCCCCGCGGCCCCCGGGGCCGCCCCGGCCGGGGCAGAGGTCCCCCGTGTCCGCGCCGCCTGGCCCCGGGGCCGGGGCTCCGCCGCGACGGGCGAGAGGCGGGGGCCGGGCGGGGACGCGGGAAGGGCAGCCGGGGCTCGGGTGGGTGCTTCGCGTCGATCCTGCCCCCGCGAACCCGCACACTGCTAAGTCGCGCCCGGCTGCTGCTTGCCAGATGAGTCTTTGCGCTGCTAGGGACGACGCCACTCAGGTAAAAGTGCTTGCGTCCTCCCCGGATGACTTGAAAAATGGGACTTTCTCTTGTGAACTAACTGCCGGTCAGAACTGGAGCTCCGGGACAAACGTGGGCGGGCACCCCTCTGCAGACCCTCCCTGTCTTCACAAGTTACGGAAAGTCTAGGGGACTAGAGCAGAGAGGACCTCTTTCATTCTTTTGCAGTTCCCATGCCCGTGTCCTCAGCTTTATGTGTGTGGTCTTCGCGTCTTCTGGTGGGAAGCTGTCACATTGTTACTACCAGTAGACTGATTTTAAAAATGAAACAATGTGTTTTATTTACTGAACATTTTGAATGTACCTAAGTGTTGCACAGAGGTGGGACACATTTTTGTTGGGAAATACACCAGGACGAATCTATGCATTTAATTTTTGTGTATGTCACTGCAGTAGCTACTGTTAAATTATGTGGAGTACTCAGGTGACAAGAATCTATGCTCTGTTTTAACTTTCAGTATTAAAAAACATTAAACGATGTTTGGCAGAATTTCCAAATATTTTTATTTATGTAGACCATAGCTTCATTTATTGTAGGTTTTGATTAAAAATTCAGTGAACTACGTACAGTATTCTTTGCTCTGTGCTTCTGTAGTGTGTAAGATGGTTCTGCAGAAAAAATAGTTATAGTTATTTATAGCAACCAGTGTATGACAGACACTTGAACAAATGTACACACACATACACACACAAACCCACTCCTGTTGCATGTACAATATGATTTTCAAACTTGGCAGTACTGACATTTTGGATAAAATTTTTTTTTTTTTTTTTTGTAGTGGGAAGTTGTTTAGTAGCATCCTTGGCTCAGTAGAAGACCGCAACACCCTACTTCTGACAGTCATGACAATCAAAATTTCTCTAGATGCTAAATGTCTTTGGGGTAGGGGGCGGGCAGAATCACCCAGATAACTGCTTGTCTAGAAACTCAAGGACCAAGTTAATCTCTCCAACTCCAGAAACGATACAAATTAAAATTTCCTGTAATTATAATTGCTGAAGCACTGGTGTAGGCCTTTTGAATTTTTAGGTAAAAAAAATTTAAAAATAACATTATGCAAAGTGGCAAGTGAATCAAGTCAACAGAATTTGGTTTATATTTAATTTGTGGCATTAGGTATTTAGATATTAACCTTATTTGAAACAGTTTCTTGGCTAATTCTGTCATCAGGTATTAAAATTATAGACACTGATATATAAATATCATAACCCTCGTGTCCCCAGTTGGTTTTCTTTTCACTACATGCTGTATATGTTTCACAATAGTAGACTGTTATCCCTGTATAAATTATCTTCTTTTATTGACAATACTTTGAACTTGTTAAACTTTAATTGTATTGTTGAATTTTACTCCTTGACAGTAGTATGAGTTAATTGAAACATTATAGAATGAGGTGGAAAAGTCATAAAGACTGGAATAATGAAGTGTGGTGGAGTGAAGCTACACTCCCTCTGGGAATAAGCAAGTAGAGGATGTGGTGAGAAATTATCATCTCTGAATGGTGTATTTCTTAGGGCCTTCATACTTGAGTGAGTTGCATGCTCTGAATTATATTTCTTGTATATGTAAATATGACTTACACATCTTAATGAACATACTTCAGTTGTTTCACATTTGAGGTAACATTTCTACCCTTCAGTGTTTTTTTTTTTTTCAGATCACACAGAAAAAGTGTATTACAGGATCTACACCTATACTCTTATGCAAAACTTTTATACAGCAAAATATAATTTTTCATTCAAACTCTTAAATGGTTGTATACTGGAAATCTTGAAGTACACCTTGAAATGACTCAGTTATTTCTTTACTATAAGCTAGGTTCATATATATGAATTTTTTTAGCCAAAAGACAAAATACTTTGCCCAGTGAATATACTGTTTCTCCTTCAACACATTTCATGTTCATTATCTATCATTGAGATTTACATAAAGGAAGGGGCTCCTTTAGCATTGTGACTTAAAATAGTTGTAGATCACTTTCAGAGTTTTAATGACATAGTTTACAGGCAATACTAAAATTGGGATTCTCTTATTTACATGTATTTGATTTTAAGCATATTCCATTTGAAGTATAAATCATCTTAGTTTTTAAAGGCTAGTTCTACCCTTAAACATAAACTTAAAAAAAACTGCTTAGAAACTATAAAGACTGTTACCAGTAAGAAGATCAAGGTATTTACATAAGATGACCAAACACTAAACAAACAAAAAAAATCAGCTTTTACATTAGAAAATTGAAGTGGGGTGTGTGTGTATATGTGTGTATGTAGCACTTTTACTCTGTTATTTCTGGCCAAATGGCTAGAAGTGAAAGTATACTGGAATATGAGAGGACTTTCTAATTAGCTCTGTCATTAGCTAGCAATATTGTTTTGGGAAAGCATATAAACTGCCTAAACTTTATGAGTGAATGTAGGGGTTTGACTTTTATGTTATGTTAATAGAGAGGTTTGAATTTTATGTATGTTCTGTATGAATTTTATGTTATGCCTTTAGTTTTACTGTATGTCCTTTTTTGAGGAACTTTTATAATCTTTTCCTCATTTAAAAATACACACACTCTAAAGGAAATGTTCTCACTTTGCTTTTGTTTATGCATGGCTGGGGAGAACTCTCTTCAGTGTTTCGGTATTGCTATCAATAATGGCCAAAAATTATGTGAAATCAAATGTATTTTACTGTAATGGTACTACTTTGCACAGTCCAGATTTGTAAAAAAAAATATTCATGTATGCAGTACATGATGTTAACCACTAGGTGGCCTGATTTCACTTTATTGAATCAACCTGATAAATTTTCGTGTCTTGCCCTGCAGATGGACCTAAGAAACTTAAGTGAGTTACCCTCTTTTCAGAAAATATAAAAAGGTATATTTTTTGATTATGATAGAAATTTCAAACTTGTGGTTTGTGATTAAAGATGCGATTAAGTTGAAACAGTTTTAGTGGAACAATCTCTATAGAGCTGATGTTTCCCTGATTTCAAGCAACTAGTTGCTTTTCCAATAAAAATACATTTCAAAATATTTTCAAATTCTTCTCTTGGTTATCCCATCTTACTGTTTTTAGGTGGTATAATTGTTACCCTTTTAAAGTGAGCTTTTCCTAAGTGTTTTATCTTAATATCTGCAAGTATGGATAGTTTTCTATATTTTCCACATGTAAATTCTTAACTATCACATCCTGTTAACTTATACCCTGGTGTAAAGTTGTCTGTAACTGTTCTCTTCACCTATGAGTTGTAGAACTTTTTGTGCTTCCTTTGCTGTCTCATAATACCCTGATCACCTTGTTCATTCATGTTTGACAAAACTGTTTCCATTTGACTATAATAGTTTAGTTATGTATTAGACATTTACAGAGTAAATATTTCCTTTGACTTGGAAAATGAGAGAACAATTTTCAGAAGCAAAACTTGGGCTAGAAAGTCAAAGATCAAATTCTTCTGTTTTTGCTTTGTGAATGAAGAAATAATTTCACCTTGTTTTGCTCTCTTCCAGGGTATTCACAGTAGACTACAAATGGTTTATTTAAGTACATAGTAGGAAGCTTGGCTTTATTGAATTGTTGCATGTTATAGCACTGTTTACTACAGGATAGAAATGCCAAAAGATGGTCTAAAAAGTAGAAAAGCAGAGCAAATCTATTGGGTGATGGGACTTTTCATTGTTAAATAAGTGGAATATTGGTGAGATTACTTGTGGAGATTTATCTCTTTGCTTTTTTCTTGGTAAATTATTGGCATTCTTATAGGCCACCTTCCTGTTATAGCTAGTAATATTAATACATTCCTAGGATCTTTTTTTCTGTTACTCTTACTTGAAAGTTATATAATTCTTTCAATAGTCACTTAAATATATATAGAAATAACTTGGGGTAGGGGCTGGGGATTTAGCTCAGCGACAAAGTGCCTGCCTGGCAAGCGCAAGGTCATGAGTTCGGTTCCCGGTACCAGAGAAAAAAAAAAAAAAAAAAAAAAAAAAAAAAAAAAAAAGAAAAAAAAAGAAATAACTTGGGGTAAAGGTATAGCTAAAAAATGAGCCCTTGCCTATCATGCCCAAAGCCCTGGGTTCAGTACCTAGCTGTGGGGGGGGGCGGGAACTAGATGCTCAGACTAAGTAGATTAGTTAGATGCTAGGAAAGTCCCAGTGGTAGAGATGATTCTAAGAATTCTACTTTAATGCTCCCTCATATTTACCCACTCAAAAAGCAAAGCTTCCTGAATACTGTCTGAAACCGATGCCCATGCTGAAAGCAAAGCAGAGTAAAACCTCATGTAGAAATGGAAAATAAGGGGCTAGAGTTTTAAAGTTAAATAAGTTTTTAGGAAATTACTCCTTGGTAACTAGTCTTTTTGAATAAAGTAAATTTTGAACTCATCCTTAAAATAGTTCAATAAGAACCTTAAGGTGGATTTTGTACAGATTAGATATAATGTTGATATTTTTGTAAATACTCAAGATTTATATGGGTGGATTCTCAAGTTAAAGATTATTTTGGTTCAGAAATAACCCATTTTTAGAAAAAGCAATCTCAGATGTGCTGTTGTGGAAGCTCTTGGGATGTGAAGGGAGCAAAGAAGAGGAAAACTTGTGGAAAGCCCACCTGCGGGTTACTGGGAGTGTCAGGAAATCATTTTGTCGCTGGGAGCACTTCGAGGAAAGGTTAGGCAGTACTAGACACTCATCGAACACCTTCTGTACTCAGTTTTGAAAAACGTTTCAGCAGGTTCTGCTTTTTAAAATTCTACCACTTGGAGGTGCATTTGGATTCTGAAAGTACTTTTTAACAAACAGAAATGCCTTCAACATCCTCCTTGAGCTATTTTCATTTGTTTAATAAACCAAATCTTTCTTGTATCTACTTTGAGATCACATTTGTCTTGAGAAAGGTGGAAGTGGTAGGTGAGTTGGAAGTGAAGTAATCTTGGAGGATAGCTTAGTGGAGGGATGTAGAAGGATAAAGAAGATCTTTATTAATTCTACAAACATTCGAGTGCTTGGACCTGAGAGGTAAATATGATAGGCAGTCTCTGCGCTCTTCAGGCTTACTGTTTGGGTGGGAAAGTTGATACTTTATTTGATTTAGTAACTGAGAAATTTATGAAATTATTGCACTCTGAAGCATCACCAATTTAACCATTTACTCTTGGCTGATTGGATTATATTTCTGGTAGCTGAAGATGATTGCCAGTAACAGATATTTAATTAAAACTGGCTTTGGTTTTGGTATTGTTTAATGGAAAAGCATATATAAGTAGGACTGACAGATTCTTGTTACAAATGCAAGAGACCACTGGAAAATTAAAGTGCATTCAACTATGGAAGTAGATGAATAGAAGAGAATAGGGGATCTTGTTATTTTGCCTGTTTAGATAGGAAAAATTTTCATTCTATGGAATTGACAACTCAGTCAATTAGAAGTTCTTGCAAAGGATGGACTTCATTTTTCAATTTTGTAAGATTGAGTTAATAGATATTAGGAACCATTTATATGTTCTTAATTTCACTAGGGATAGACAAATTTTCACACTTTGCTCTTTGAAATCAGAATGGATTTTAAAGAAAGAGTTAAATCTAGAAAGACAAGATGATTTTGACTTCTGCTATGGCGATCAGATTATGCACATTAATATTGAGCCACATTTCTACTTAGTGTTTATATGAGGTATAAAATAGGTTTTCTCACTTAATTTTATCCTTAGTCCAGTACCGTAAGGTAGATGGCATTACACTCATTTTTACAAACAAGTGAACTAAAGCCCTGAGAGGGTAATAGGTACAAGATTACAAAGTAAGTGGTTAAGTTAGAACTAAAGGGTTCTGGTTTCAAAATGTAGTTTAGGTTCCAACTTCCTAGTACTCTTCTCTATTTTTCTAGTGTGTTATAGTGTGGTTAAATGGTGGACTTTAGAGATCAACCATGATAAATTTGGTGTGACTTTGGTTAAGAAGTTACTTGTAATCTCAGCACTTTTGGAGGCTGAGACAAGAGGATCACAAGTTCAGTTTACATCTGGACAATTTAGTAGCAAGACCAAGTTTCAGAATAAAGTGGGGGATGGGCTGGGAATGTAGCTCAGTGGTAGAGCACCCTAAGATTTGATCCTCAGTATCACACACAAAAGCAAAACAAAACAAAGGAGTTATACTTTTCTAAATCAAGATTTTCTACTCTGTGAAGTAACAATAATAGTATTATTTTCTCTCTTCTGGTTGTTGAGAGAAAAATTTCTTAAGACTACTACAGTATATGGTACTTAGAAAGTTTTAAGTAAATGTTAGTTCGCATTATTTTCAGATGCCCAGTTCTCTGGCTAATAGAATCCTCAAATTCAGTTTATCCTGGAGACTTATCTTTTCCTGTGCTTCTTTCTTTAAAATAGTCTTTATTTTTTGCTCTGTAAAAGCTCACATTTTGACTTTTACTCCTTCACTATATTTACTTTCCTTGGGTCATCTGACCACAACTATTCTTTGTACGAGTATGCGCGCAAATGCCAAAACTGGATCTACTCTAAACCTATGTCTGAATAGCATATCCATATACCCAGTTGCCCTCTGGACCTGTTCTGCCCAATAGGATAGCTGCAGCACTTAAAATGGGAATAGTCTGAATTGTGATGTACTATGACTACAAAATACATAACAGATATTGAAGACTTTACTAAGCAAAACGAGTATAAAATATTTCATTTATAATTTTTATGTTTACATTTTGAAATTATATTTTAGATATATTGGGTTAAATAATATTTATTAAAGTTAACTTTAGTAAGGCCAGGGAAATAGCTCAGTGGTCACAAGTGCCTACCTGGCAAGCGCAAGATCCTGAGTTCGATTCCCCGTACCAAAAAAAAAACAAAATTAACTTTAGTAGTTTCTTTTTAAAAATGTGGCCACTAGAAAACTACATGATGTGGCTTGCATTTTATATTTTTTGAACAGTTCTGCTCTGGGCATTTTTACCTGTGTATTTTTCAAGTACCTTGAAAACATGTAGTCCAAAACTATTCTGCCTTTCCTTCTCCCTTCCAGAGTTCTGCCTGTCCTGTGTCTGTCCTTTCCCTAGTGAATAACATTGGTTGTATTCCCAAAGCCAGAAAGTTTGGAGTCATCTTTGATTCTTCATACCCTGTCAGCTGCAAAATTCTTGCTGCTACTTTTTAAATATTTCTTAGTTTCATATACTTCTTCCCGTTTACTTTTATCACCGTGGTTGGTCCATTCTTTCATGGGCTCTGGACTTTCGTCTTGTGATAGTTATTTCCCTTCTACTCTGAGATGTTAAAAAGAATTATTTCCTCTTATAGTACTATTATGGTTTCATTTTAAAAATACAAATACTTATTTCATCTGAATTTGAAGTAGAACTCTTAGTTTAGTTTTTAAGAATGCTTATCCAATATCTTGCACCATTTCTTGAAAGAAAAGTCTGTCTTGGTACCACTGATTTAAAATGTTACAATTTACCAAATTCGTGGGTTTTTTTTCCTGAATGTTTTATCTTGTTCCATTTCTTTATATGTCTGTTCATATGCCGGTACTATTCTGGTTTATTTCTGTATAGTATATTTGGATAATAGGTAATGGTAATTCTGCCACTATTATTTTTAGATTTTTTTCTGGCTGTTACTCTGGATATTATTACTTTTTAAATTCTTTTGTTTGTGAATGATGAAATCAGCTTAAGCAATTCTTTTTCAAAATCTGTTGGTGTTTTCATTCATTTAGTATGAATTAATGGACATCTCTGGAATATTGTTTTCTTATCCAAGAATGAGGTCTAAATATTTTTGCATTTATTCAAGTTTTTGGTGTTTCATCATTTACCTATACCTTGACTTTGAATGTTACAATTATTCCTGGGTAATTAACCCTTTTTGTTGTTGACACTGTCAACGGATTAACAGGTTGTAGGGTTTTTTTGTGTGGTTTGTTTTTTACCATTCCTTTTTGTTGAGCCCTAATAATTTCTTGCTTGAGTTATTATAAAGATTACTAATTGGCTTTCCTTCTCTTTCATCACACTGTTGCTATTGATTTTTCTTAAAGCACAAGATATTTATCATTTGCTTCTTTAATTAAAGTCCTTTCGCTTCTAGAGTAAAGGTCAAATGAAGAATAAATGTCAAGACTCTGTAGAAAGACTTACAAGGTTGTGATTTGGCTGTTAATGGCACATCTGGCCTAATTTTTTAAAATGCTAGTGTAACTATAGCTCTTCCCCATTGTAGGACTTTTTTGTTGTTGTTGTTGTGTTTTTATTTTTGTTTTTTGAGGCAGGGCCTTGCTATGTAGTTCAGCCTGGCCTCAACTTCATGGCAATCCTCCTGCCTCAGGCTCCTGAGTACTGGGATTACAGGGGTGAGCCACCATGCTTGGCAATGATTTAGTTTTAATATTCCAAATATAAGGTATATATGTTAGGAATATACCTTCCTTAGATATATATGTTCAGTCTGGGTGGCTTCAGTCATACTTGGCACACACAAATTTAATTCACTAATTTGAATACAATTATTGATTGACAAGTTATTATTTTTTTGTAGTGAGGATGAGGATGAGGATCTTCAGTATGCTGATCATGATTATGAAGTACCACAACAAAAAGGACTGAAAAAACTCTGGAACAGAGTGAAATGGACAAGAGATGAGGTAGTTATCTGGGAAGGTTTATGAATTTCGTACTTGTATTTATCAATTTATACTGTTATAGTTATGAAAGGTAATTCAAAACAAAATGTGCAGAAAAGTTATCCATCAACTAACTTGTACATTCTTTTTCTTTGATCAGAGACTTGAATAACTACTTGGTATTGTGCCTGACAGAACAGTGTAGTACATGAAGAAGTTTGTATAGTAGTGGTGTTAGTTTTAAAAATGGCCACTAGATACGACTTTACAGAACTAGAGAGCTGTATTCAGGGATGGAGCAAAAGGGTGATGGAAAGCTTTTTAATTTTTATACCTGTTTTATAGGATGATAAGTTAAAGAAGTTGGTTGAACAACATGGAACTGATGATTGGACTCTAATTGCTAGTCATCTTCAAGTAAGTAAAATGTTAAATTATATTTCTAGCATGGCTAATAGGACATTTGTTTAAATTTAATTTTTAAGAGTGTAGCTTCATTCATTCGGAGAGGAAGTCTTAGTGTGTTGCCTAGGCTGCCCTGATCTTTTTGCCTCTGCCTTCCCCCTCACCACCCCTAGAGGCTGGGATTACAGGTGCTTCACCACTGTGCCTGACTCTGTACATATTTTAGATTTAGATTTCCTTCTAAAAACATCCCTGTTTTTGGTCCACTTGTAGTTGGTCGCTAATGGTTTAGAAAGTCTGATTTTCTGGTACAAGGTGAGCATCTCTAATACAAAAATCTGAAATCTGAAGTGCTTCAAAATCCAAAGCTTCAGAATTCTGATAAAACTCCACAAGTGGAAAATTCTACACCTGAACTCAGGTAGTAGGTCATAGTAAAAAGTCGGTGCACTAAAAATATTGTATAAAATTATCTTCAGGTTGTGTGTAGGAGGTGTAGTATAAGAAACATAAGTAAATTTTGTGTTTAAGTTTGGATCCCATCCCCAAAGTATCTTATTACAGATATGCAAATATTTTAAAACCCATACATATCTGAAATCTGAAACACTTTTGGTTATAAGCATTTTAGATAAGGGATCCTAAAAAAAAAAAAAAAAAAGAGATATTCATCCTATAAAGCCCTTACCCGGAGGCCTCAAGAGATTAACAATATAAAACAAAAATGGCATTAAGTTTGGATAGGGCTTTATAAATATTTGTGATACACATTAAAACATTTTGAGAGAATGTAAATATTGAAATATTTTGATAGCTAACCAGTAAAATCAGGGAAAACTGCTTTAAACATTTAGTATCTAATTCTTACGTTTTAAAGTGTTAACTGATTTTTAAAAATTTACACTTACTGTTCATTATACTAATTCACATACTATTCATTTGTATATAATTTTATAATCACATTTTATTATGCGTATATTCTTGTTTTTAATGTGCTGTGAATAGACAAAACACTCATATGTGAATTTTGAGATTAATTACTTTGGATTGAAAAACCATGCTACCTGTGTTCTCTCTATAGTGTCATAGTGTCTCTCAACAGAACCTGAAAGTAGAGGCTAAACAATAAGGAGATAAATTTTGGAGTTAATTTGAATTATATTCAAATATCAGCTCTCCTAGCTTAGAAAAATTACTTAACCTCTTTGTCCTTCAACTTCCTTACAATATGTATATGATAGTATTTGTTTCCATAGTATTGTTATGAGAATTAGAAATAATACATAAGATGTTTATATAACATCTTCAAATCCTTTCAGAACCGTTCTGATTTTCAGTGCCAACATCGATGGCAGAAAGTTTTAAATCCAGAATTGATAAAGGGTCCTTGGACTAAAGAAGAGGATCAAAGGGTAATATGTTCATGTTCTTTATGGTCACTGCGTAGGTGTATTAGCTTTTTTCTTACTAATACTTTGTTTTAACACAAACTTCAATCACTTGATTGTTCTTAAACCTAATTTTGTTCTCTAGAGGCTATTTACATGACTGAATGTTGATCTTGAAATGTAGTTTTTCTGAAATGAGTCAAACCAAGTATAAAATACAATCTATTTTACAGTGATTTGCAGAAGGAAAAATGCTTGCTATAAAGCATTGGTTTAATTATAACCAATTTGATTTAACTATATTAGGGTATAGTTTCCTATCAAAAACTGCATTAATAGTGCTTGTTTTGGCAGCACATATACCACAATTTCCGTTAATATATTAAACATTTTAATTTTATTTTTACATTTGATAATTTTATATGTAAGAAGTCATTCTTAAAGTTATTTTGATAGATTCAGTATGATCTGATTTAGTTGGTGGCTGATAGTTTTAAAGTATATAATCTCATTAAAAGTACATTTAATCTTGAAATTTTATTTTTAAACATAGTAAATATATACATATAGTAAAAATATCGATGTATATTAAATTTAAATATTCCATCAATACAAAATGTTTACAATGTGATATTGCCTCATGTGACAGGCAAACTAACAGTGAACTAAGGTGAGCTACGAATAAATATCTTGCAATTTTAAGTAAAATAAACATTTAAACTGGGAAAAAGAATGTGTTTTTTCAGTATGAGAAAAGAGGGAATAAAAAGCCAATTATTGTGGATTCCTTCTGCTTCCGGATAGATTTGTTTAGCTTTCTGCTGAAGCTGGTTTTTTTTTTTTTCTTTGTAAAATATAAGAATAGAATGTGAAGATTTTTACTACCATTTCATAGTATTTTCTGTGGAAACATTTTCACTTCCAAGTCACTGTAGCCCTTTGGGTTGCAGATAATGGGGAGTCAGTTTTTGACTGGTCACATGCTGAAGGATTGTTTATTGGTAAAATTGATTTTTGAACAGTGTATGCAGTTGGGGCTTAAATTTAATGTATTTATTTAAATTGACATCTGAATTTTTTGTTTTTGTTTTGCCCTTGCTGGGGATTCAGGCCAGGGACTCACACATGTTAGGCAAGTGCTTTAACGGGTGATATTTCTAGCCCCAGCATTCTTGAGTTATGTTTCAAACAAGGTAATAACTTTTTAAACTTTTGTTTTGCTTCTTAGGTTATTGAGTTAGTTCAAAAATATGGACCAAAAAGGTGGTCTTTAATTGCAAAACATTTAAAAGGAAGAATAGGCAAGCAGTGTAGAGAAAGATGGCACAATCATCTGAATCCTGAAGTAAAGAAATCTTCTTGGACAGAAGAAGAAGACAGAATCATCTATGAAGCACATAAGCGGTTGGGAAATCGTTGGGCAGAAATTGCCAAACTACTTCCTGGAAGGTGCTTATATAAATGTATATACACTTTTTGTATTTAATCATGATCCTTATTACCTTACTATTAAATATTTTGTAAGCAGCCCATACCTTTTATTTATAATTAAAATTTAGACTGCATAATACAAGCATCTGTTTGGAACATCTGTAATAAATTTGGTGGTAAGAAATATAATTACTTTTTAAATAAAGTATAGCAATAATTTGTGCAATACAATGATTATAAAATGTTTAGATTATATAAACATTTAATATGCTCCCCAAAGTATGTTTATATATCATTGCCAGTTAGTAGATCCTTTTTGTGCAAATGGAATCTGAATCAGAGTTTTCTTTCTTTAGGATTACTGTGCATAAAGCCAGAGAATTACAAGTAGGTTGGTTGAAATAAAGTGGGCTGAGAATACCTATCTTGCAATTTTAAGTAAAACAAATTATACATAAATATAAATATACTTTAAGTAAAATAAATACAAATTATACAAATATTTTGGGAACACACTCATTAAAATATTTCCCTCTAATGTATTTTTTTCGTTAAGAAACACAGTATTCCCATCCCACACTGCTATGAAAGTATGTTAGAAAAATTTAATGCTTAGCTGTAGTATGGTTTAAAGTCATGGGAGTGTTGTATATTTTCATGTAACTAAAACTGCATTTCCCTCAGAGGCAGTAATGTCCTAAGTATCCTCTACACTGCACTGGTTCATGTGTTTCCTGATAATCTAGCACAGTTGACCAACCCTGGGAATTTTGTACCTCACTCAGAAGATAACGCACTTAGTTTTTATTCTGTTTATCTCTATATAGTAATTTATAGTATATAAAATGCTTGTACATATTTTTGTGTGGTCCTAGGGATTCAACCTTTGCACTGAGCTATATCTGCAGCCAAACCCCGATCTTCATTTTGAGACAGGATCTGACTATGTAGTTCAGGCTGGCCTTGAACTCTTTGTAGACAAGATTGGCCTTGAACTTGTGACAATTCTCCTGCCTCAGTTTCACAAGTGCTAGGATTACAGATGTGTACCACCATGCCAAGCTACAGCCCTTTTTTTTATATTTTATTTTGAGACAAGGTCTCAGCTATGTCACTAAGCTGCCAGGGCTGGGCTTGAACTTGCAGTCTTTCTGCCTCACCCTCTCAGAGTGCTGGGTTTCTATGCATTTGCCACACATCCAGCTACATGCCTCTTTATATACTTCGGGAATATGCAGAGCAAACGTTACTGTTTTCTGTAGATGAGGAAATTAAGGTACGGTGTTAAATTTTTAAAAACACCAGACTAGGAACTTCTGGTGTTTTTGCTTGTTTATATATCTTCTTACTTTCCCGAGAACTGAGCTTTGTAAATCAACATAAAGTAGGTTTTCAGTATATTTTATGTAGGATGGGTTTTAAACTACAAATAGCTATACACTAAAGATTTACATTTTCATAAAGGAAACCTTAGATAAAAAAAGAAGGGATTGTTCCAAGAAATGAAAACAGAACGTTGGGCTTCTGTCACTGGTTCCCTTCTCGTGGTCACAGGTTTGTGCCTAGCTTGAGGCCTTTGCCCTGCCCCTGCCGTGTGTTTGGGGTGCTCTGTTTTCCTGTCCCTGTTCGGGTGGGTCATTCTTGTTGGTTAGGTCTCACTTCACTGTCCTCTCACGGAGGGCTTCCTGACTGTCCAACCAGAATTACCCTAGTTACCCACTTGTCTCACTCTGCTTTAATTGTCTGGATTACACTAGTTTTTTTATGTTTCTTTCACTGTTGTTTTGTTGTTCCTTACCTGCGGCCAGACCTACAGACTGAGCACCAGCAGAATAGGGACCTTCTTCATTTTAGTCCCTATAGCGTCTGTGGTTCTTACAGCACTAAGCCTGACTTACGATTTATCTTCAGAGTTTTTAAAGTACCCGATTTCATCAGTTGTAAACTTTTTCAGCTGGGGATGTAGCTCAGGTTCTGAGTTCAATTCCCGGCACCTCCCTTACCCAAATTTTGGTTTTCAGCACTTTGTACAAGTTACATAATATTGAAATGTGTGGATTCCTCTTTTCCTTTTTAAATTATATACTTTCATTTCTTAGGACTGATAATTCCATTAAAAACCATTGGAATTCTACAATGCGAAGAAAAGTGGAACAGGAGGGCTACTTACAAGATGGGATAAAATCAGAACGATCTTCATCAAAACTTCAACACAAACCTTGTGCGACTATGGACCATTTGCAAACCCAGAATCAGTTTTACATACCTGTTCAGGCACATACTTTTAATACCTTCATTATTTTAAAAATCTCTTTAGTTGCTAGATGGGAAAATGGTTTCTTAATAAGACAATAAAACATTAAGGGAATGGGTAACAGACATTTACAAACTGAAAAAATGTGCTATGACTTCTACAAATATTTTGGGAACGCAGTCATTAAAATATCTCCTTTTAATGTACTTTTTACATTAAACACAGTATATGCATATGTCCTTATTGTTTTCATCTTCACTTATGATTCAGTTACTTGTCTGTGCTCCCACCTCTACTATAGTTTCCATTTTTAAAGTGTTCTGTATAACTATAGGGGTGTAGGAAGTGGATTAAAGGAGAGAATAGTGAAAAAATCATTCCAGCCATTATTTGGGGATGTAGGAAATGATTTGATTTGATGTCTTTCAGCTTTGCTTTCCCTCCTAATAGTTAATCACTTGGGTTATTTCAGTCTTTGTTTAGACAGTCAGTAGCGATTACAGAAGCTCAAAATGAGGCAAACTATTTTGATCTTTATACGGCGTTTTCCTGCCTGCAAGAAATTAGTTTAGAGTCTTCGTAATGTTTATTTTTCTTGGTACCTGTCTACTATGATGAGCAGTTCTTGATTCTTTTTATATAAAATTAAGTCAGGACTAAGTTGTGTCTACCAAAGATTAAATTGGGCTGGGTATTAAAACTCTGTGCTATCTATGCTTCAAGTTTGATTTTATTCTACATTTTATGGATGTTCATAAGTTTTTTGTATTTGTTGTTTTTATGACACAGGGTTTCACAGTGCAGTTCAGGTGGCCTTGAACTCACTTTGTGGCCCAGGCCGGCCTCAAATTCATGGCAATGCTCCTGCCTCAGCCTCCTGAGTGCTGGGACTACAGGCGTGCCCAACCACACCCAGCCAGAATGTCACCGTTTTTAAGTGGCTTTTTAAAAAGTATGTGAAAAACATGAACAGCTGGGTCTTGTGATGCATGCCTGTAATCCTAGCACTTGAGAGGCTGAGACAGAAGAATCACTGAATTTGTGGCCAGCCTTGGCTATATAAGCGAGTTCAAGGCCAGCGTGCACTATACAGTGAGACCCTATCTCAAAAAACCAAAAACAACAGCAACAACAAAAAGTGGTAGCCAGGTGTGGAGGCACACTACTGTAATCCCAGCACTTGGGAGGCTGAGGCAAGAGGATCATTGTGAGTTTGAGACGAGCTGGGACTACAAAGTGAGCTCAGGCCAGCCTGAACTACATAGTGACACCCTGTCTCCAAAAAAAAAAGTGACATTTGAATTTACATATAGGGAAGCATGAAGATAGCATAATTATCTGCTGATAGTTCAGATTTTATTGTCTGTTTCCTTACATTTTTTTTTTTAGAGTCCTATGTTTCAGCAGCAAACTGAAACATCTGCTTCTATTTTAGAAAGGTTGTCAATTAAATTTATTTTTTTAACCTACAGAAAAGTAATTTTAAAAATTACTTGGGGCCAAGGGAGCACCTAACAGTCTCAATCAAAATATGTTGGAAAGATGAGGATATTTCTTAAACTTTAAGAATTGTTTCCTTTGCAATAGTTTAAAAAGAGATTTATATATTCATAGTTCAATTAATTTAAACTACTAAAATAATTTTAGTTTTATCATAAAGTGTGACTTGAAGGATAAGTTAGATTGGTTTGAACTGCTATTACAATTTCTCATTAAAATTTGAGAGAGATAAATTTTAATTTATTTGAGTTACCAAGCTGAGTGATACTCATTGGGTACTGTAAAAGGTGCATCATATGTTAGAAGTGATATATAATGATTTTGCATTAGGTAATGATTTCTGTAGGCCGTTACAGAAGGTAGACAATTTCGTGTTTATTTGACTTACGGGTTTTTAAAACTACTTTTTCTTTTACCAGCGCTCGCTCACTTCACGTGCAGCTTCACAGTTCTTGTCGTGGTGGATGTTTTAGAAATGAAGCAGAAGCTAGTTAGTTTGTTGTCAGGATCTGTTAAATATATGTATCTAGTCTGGAGTGATTCTAATTGTTTTTTCCAAAATGAGTGGTAGAAAAAGTCCACATTGTCCTGTCTTACTCCGATTGTCATGGAGTGGTAGTAGGATTTGGAGATAGAAACTTGCTTTAGTCTCTGTCTTGTCATAGCTTCACAGGCATTAGTACTTTCCTGTGCCAGGTGGAACACAATTATGTTGTCTTCTGCAAGAGAGAACAGCCCTTACGTACCAGATTTTTAATATTTGGTGGAAATGTTGATAATAGATAGACTGGCTGACAAAACTAGGCTAAATAATTCTATTTCATTTAATAGAAGTTGAGGTTTTTCCTAAAAGTTGTGGCTTTCTCAATAAATGGTAGAAATAGTAGATAAGAAGTGATGAATTTTAAAAATTTCTAGAGATACTTTAAATTGTAATGGTGACATCACAAGTTTTTGTAACTTGCCTCAGATTTTTAAAATTTGGATGGTGTTAGTGTGTAATAGTAATGCTTTAATTACTGTCCCTTTTAGATTCCTGGTTATCAGTATGTATCACCTGAAGGCAATTGTGTAGAGCATATTCAGACTTCTGCCTTTATTCAGGTAACTTTTATTTGTAACATCAGACAAAAGGAATGCTTTCAAACATTTTTCAGAGTCAAGTAGTGCCCTTTTTTTCATGTACTAAGCAATATTGTTTTGTTTACTGTACTTTGAATATTGTAAATGGAAGGAAAAAATGAGTAAGTGGGTTTTGAAAATATAAACTGTGCAAATAAGAGGTAATTGACAACACCAGTTTGGTAATACTTTCCATTCTTCCGTCAAGCATTTGCTAAATTGAATAAAATGTGTGTATTACAATTCAGTAAAACTAAAATATTCCAGGACATAAATTTTTTAGCTGATATAGATGGTACAATATGTTTTTAATGCATTTAAATGTTGTTGCATCTTTTCTGCTAAATTGAAAATATTTTCTAGTACATCTTTAGATACCAGAGGAATTGTGATATATTGAATATTAAAATATAAGTAGTATTAAGCCTTATTAAGAAAAATATATTTTAGCTTGCATAGAAAATGAAAATTAGGGGCTAGGGATATAGCTCAGTGGCACAAGCACCTGCCTGGCAAGAGCAAGGTCCTGAGTTTGATTCCCAGTACCAAAAAACAAAACAAAACAAAACAAAAAAATAAAAATTAGAGCACTAATAATAATAAATCAATGCCTCAGAGATAATTTTTCTCTCTTATTTAACTTATTGTAGCCATCCTTTGTTGATGAAGATCCTGATAAAGAAAAGAAAATAAAGGAACTTGAGTTGCTTCTTATGTCAGCTGAGAATGAAGTTAGAAGAAAGCGACTTCCATCTGTAAGAAAAGATTGTGTAGAGTTTACTGATAGAATCCTTCTCATATATGCTTTTATACTTTCATCAGCTATAGAGCATATGGAGTATGACTTCACATTTTAATATGGAGTAAAAATAGGTTTTTTTTAAATTTGGAGGTTGCCTGATTTTGATATGCATTTCTTTTAGCATATTTTACAATGTTTTGTACTAGGATACTTCTGTTGTTTAGAGTACTTCCTGAGTCATAAATGTCAAGCAGATGTAAAGTCTTTGATATATATATATATATATGAAAATTATATGTGGTTTGGATTAGGTCTTGGTTTTATTTCAGGCATTCCACATAATGTTGGCATAATATAAAAACAAATCTTGAAAAATGAGGAATTTAATAGATAGAGAGATTATTTATTTACTTATTGTGGTACTGGAGATTGAACTGAGGGCCCTCCCACTGAGTTATATCCCCGATCCATTTCTTTTTTGAGACAGGGACTTGCTAAGTTGCCCAGGCTGGACTCAGACTTGAAATCCTCCTGCCTCAGCCTCCCAGAGTGCTAGAATTACTGGCACAGGTCACCACATCTGGCAGGAAGAGATTTATGAGCTCCAAGATTATTTTTATTCTCTTTTAAAATTTTTTTATTTACTATATTTAGAATATGAATTTAGTGAATTTGGAAAAAGTGATAACATCAAAAATATGTACAAAGGGAGTATTTAGATTTTTGTGCTCACTAAAGAAGTCCTTCAAAAGAAGAAATTTTATATGGACGTTGAGTTTTGGTTACCAGGTATGAAACTGCTAACTGAGACTCAATGAGAATAAGTATGAGTATTAAACTAGAATGAATAGTAATCATTCTAGTAGAATTTTTTTTAAATGTTTATACTTAAAAGACATTTTTAAAATTTTTAAATGATACCTTGAGCCTTTTTGTGTTTAGAAAGGTTTTTCGTGGTTTGGAGCTGAATGAGTGAGTGGGCAGTACATGGAGAGTGACTGGGACCTCAGACATCAGTAAGGTGGCATGGCCCGAGATCTTAAAATGGTGTTGTGAGGCAACTGGTGATGTCTTTGCATTACCTAAGAGGATGTTTAAAAAGTGATATTTTTTAATTGTAACAGGTGAGCTATATGTTGAGGTTAGCAGCTTTGAAATTGCAAAACCATTGGCAATAGGAAGATCGGATGTATATTGTTTTATTTAATTTTGGTTAAGAACTGCAAATAGTTATGGTTACAGGGCCCACATTTATAGATAGTGATACCATGTTCAAATAATTTTTGCTTTTTAAAATGGAAAATCTTAATTTCACAAGAAAAATATAAGTAGTTAAAGAATTAGCATTTTGTATTGAGCAGGGAGAATGTTACTAATTTTTTATTTTTTATTTTTTATTTTTTTTCCTCTGGTACCGGGAACCTAACTCATGACCTTGCGCTTGCCAGGCAGGCGCTTTTGCCGCTGAGCTAAATCCCCAGCCCCTGTTACTAATTTTTTAGAATTTGCTATCTAAAATTTACTCGTAAAGATCTGGTTGAATAAAGATATTTTGAATTTTGGAGGGAAATTGCTGCAGCTAGGAGAATCCATACATATATATTTATTCTTTTTAAAATTTATATGCTAGTAATGGCCATCATTTTACTGAGTATCCATTATATTCTCTTGTAGCTGTTTTATATATATTCTTGACAATCTTTATATTAATTCTGTGAATGAGATGAAATTTTGCTAGAGATTCAGTTTCAGTTCTGTATGATTATAAACCCCTATGGTTTTTCTCTTGGGTCCAGTGACCTCCCTCTTTATCATTTGGCTCTTTTTCTCACCTGCAAATTCAATTGAAAGGCATATGATTTGGAAGCTATCTCCTGAAAGTGATTCATTCAGAAGGTAGTTCTGCTAATGAAATAAGATTGTTTTAATTTTATTTTTAGGGGTCTTTAAAACAGGTAACTTGTTTTGTAATAATATTTTTTTACCTTATTTAGTTTGAAACTTCATGTTTTGCTATTGTGACTCATTAACACATTAGCATTTTATTTTAATAGGAATGGAAATCATTTTTTTGAGTGCTTCTATGGAATGGGCTGTGTGCTCTCTAAAATCTGGTAGCTACTAGGCACACGTAATTTAAAATAAAATTTAAAATTCCTTTTTTTCAGTTGTACTAGCCACACTTTGCTTACTCACGGCTGCTGGCTTCCATATTGAGTAGCTGCCGATATAGAACATTTTCATCATCTCCAGAAGTTCTACTGAACAGTACTACACACTTTACATGTAATTTTTTCATTCATGACTCTTTAGGTTTCTTTTTTATTTTTTTATGGTAAGATAATAGGAAGCTAGACTCAGAAGATAAGTAAATCACCCAGTGAACATCTCTAAAGATAAAGAAAAATGACAGGATTTACTCTAGAGTGGAAACATACAAGCAACAGGGTATAGTGTGATAAGCCAGAAAGTTTTATGAAAGCACATAGGACAGGTGCCTAATTTAGATTTGTGCAGTCAGGGATGGGTTCCTAGAGGAAGTATTATTTGAACTCAGTTGTGAAAAGCAGCATGATTATATATCAGTAAGACTGTTAGTAAGATAAATAAGGGCATTATTATAAATGGAGTAGAATACCTTTCAATATTTGAACTGTATTTTAAATGAAAAATAGGCGTTTTCTTGGTCAGAAAATTGGGGAACATTTGAAGCAAAGGGAGCAGCAGTACTTGCAAATGAGCTCCAGGGTAAAAGAGCATTATTCATGAGGGAAGGCAAGTACTACAGCTAAGTAACCCTGGGAGCAGGGCTTGTGAGTGGGTATGTTGCACTTTGTTATTTGCTTGTTTTAGCTTACAGTGATTTTTAAAAATTTTTGTTATTAGTGCATTTCTGTGATAGTACATTTTGTGAATAAAAAATTTAATTAGAAAAAAAGAAATATAGTCAACATGTGGCATTCAATTAAAACACATACCAACTTTGAGGAAAGACAGTATATTTGCTACAGTATTTTTAGCTGAAATATTAAATAACTTGTTCTAGAGAAAATGTTCACTTAAAATCTGAATTTATACTTCCATTGAGAATGACAAATATTTAAATTTCTTTTGTACCTTTAGCAACTTGGAAACTTAGCTGCCTGGTCGGGTAGTTTTCTCATGGATGATAGCATGTCTAATACTCTAAATAACCTCGAGGATCAAGCTACTGAGTTTTATGGCATGGATGAAAATCAAACTGTGTCCGTGCAGCAGAATTCACCCACGAAGTTCCTGGCTGTAGAGGCGAATGCTGTGCTGTCTTCTCTACAGACCATCCCAGAGTTTGCAGAGACCCTAGAACTTATTGAATCTGTAAGTTTGAGATTGTGAAGTTATCAAAAGTGTGATTTCAGTTATATGATTTTATGTTCAGAAATGTCATTTAGAGGACATAGATCAATTTTATGTTAAGCATTACTTTGAATACCATGCAATAGCTTCTGGGCAAAAAGAAAGTTTTCATCTTTTCTCAAGTATGTGCCTTATAAGGAATGTTTGTAATTGAAAAGAGTTCATTTTTATTGAAGTTGTACAAGTGCATCAGAGAATGTTGGAAACCAGTGAAAACTACAAAGAAGAAAGTTCAAGTCCCCCTGTATTCAGAGTTAATAACTTCAAGTAGGCCTTGCAGTGCTGTCTGTATTGTACATGTAGAAAATATGTGTTTCTTTTAAATCCAAAAGTATATCTGTAGATTTGATTTGTCTTCCACTTACATCATGAGCATATCTTTGTTTTCTGAACTGGTTTTAAACTTGAATTTTAGTGGCTTTATAGTATTCCGTTCCTGTGAATGTAAGAAATTTATTTACTGAACATACTGTTAATATTGGACAGTTGGCAGTATCTAAATTTTCAGTGTTCCTGATAATAAAAGGTATTTATGTAAAGTTTTGTGCAAAATCATGATTATATTCTCAGGTTAAATTGAGTTTCTGGATCAGTGTATATCACCATTTTTAACATGTTCCATACATATTACCAAAATATTCTGTAGCATCTGATAGTGTTTTCCTGATGTGAAGTGAATATGAAATTTTATAATGAATTGTACTTTTTAATAACTTAAAATAATTTGTTCTTTTTATATAAGATACATCGACGGTAAATTTCAACTGCTGAGTTGGGTGAAATAATATTTTGGAATATTCTAAATTAGAATTCTAGGAAAAACATAATTTGTTCCTCTGAGATGGTCTTACTTAAGATGTCCAGGGAAAGCTATTTTTACTGACCATGAATAGTTAAATAACTCAGTGGAACTCATCATCCTGTGATCGGGATCAGATCTAACTAGTTACAGTGTTAACTTTAGTTAAGAATTTAATTTATTACAGGATCCTGTAGCATGGAGTGATGTTACCAGTTTTGATCTTTCTGATGCCGCTGCTTCTCCTGTCAAGTCCACCCCAGTTAAACTAATGCGAATTCAACACAGTGAAGGAGCCATGGAATGTCAATTTAGTCTTGTACTCGAAGGGAAGAAAAACAGTTGTGATGGAAACAGTGAGGCAGTTCCTGCAGCATCCCCAAGTGCAGCCAAGTTTAGCACTCCACCAACCATCCTCAGAAAGAAGAGAAAAATGCGAGTGAATCAGTCTCCAGGTAGCGAACTTGGTGAAGGCTCATTCATTGATGGCGTTAACACAGCATTAAAACACACACCAGTGAAAACACTACCATTTTCTCCTTCACAGGTATAATGTTTTATATATGTTTTCCAGTGTTGATGAACTCGGGTAAATTAAATGAGATCTCTAGTATCCTTAGTAGCAGTAGTTAAAAAGCAACTTAGGGAAGATGAAATAGAGTTGGACACTCTAACACTTTCCCATTTCTGGAGTCTTACACACCAGCAATTTTTATTGAAGTGTAAATTCTAAGGTCAAAAGTGGCTGGAAACTTATAACCTGTGGCTGAGTTTGGATTTTATCATGAAAAAGAGGCTTGGATTGCTAATCTTAAAGTAACTCAAATATGAAGAAGCAGGAGTTGATAGAGGCTAGTAGAGTTCGAATTCTGTCCAGCTATAAGCAGCTTCGAACCAGTTCCTGCGACACACTCCTGCTTCTAGTCTGTTGGCTACAAAAGTAAATTTCACCATTATATGTAAGTTGAGACTCCGTGCAGACACTGTGTAATTTAAAAACAAACTCTGATGTTGCCTGTCCAAAGGTTCAGTGCTTTGTTTTAGATAGGCAAATTTAGGGGAGATTTGGAAATACAGACTGCTGTATTTCCTTACCAGCAAAATATTATTTATTTTGTTTTATTTTTTTGAGCTGGTTTCTTGCTCTGCTGCCCAGGCTGGCCTTGAACTCTTAGGGTCATGATCCTCCTGTCACCAGTGGGATCTGAGACGCTCGCTTCTCCCAAAGAGGAGGTGCGGGCCTTGCAGCCAGATGAGTAGGTGTACTCACTGACTTACGTCATGGAAAAGAAATTGCAGGATGTGTCAGTGTGAGGTGTAGGCAGGTTTACTAGGCAGGGTTAGAAAGTAAGGTTTAGGACAGTGCCTGCAGACTTACAGGCATTGCTATAGGAACCCGGGTGCTCATGGGTTTAGGACAGTTCCTGCAGACTCACAGGCATTGCTCTAGGGAGTCTGGAACTGGAAGTTGTAAAAGCTAGTAATCCATGTCCCTGCAAGTCCTGAAACTGGATACTTTTGTCTTGGTGTCCTATGTTCTGAAAGGAGATGAGGTGCCATAAGGCTATAAACCTTGTTTTGCCAACTTTTCCTGAAAGTGAGTAACATTTCTAAGTGTATAGCTGAGCAGGGCTCTGACCTACAGTTTCAAGGTACCAAAGGATGTAAAAAACTGGATTTCTTTGTTTTCTCTTTGCCTGTTGTTATTTCTTCTACCTCACTCCTGCCTAAGCCTCCCAAGTAGGGGAGATTACCACTGTGCTCAGCCTGTCATTATATTTTGAACTCACATTACTCATAGAAAAGCATTTAAGATCACTGAGTGAAAACAGAGCTGAAAACATTTTTTTTCAATTTTACTCTTGTACACCACCTCAGCTGTGTTAACCAGTTCACACAGCAGCTGTGGTGTATATACATCTCTAATTGAACACCCTATTTTGTTTTAAAACTTTTATATTGTTCTTTGTAACTTTGAACATTTTTTTAAAAACTGTTTCTTGAATGCCTGTTTTGTACTAAACACTATACTACGTGCTGCAGAGCAGCAGTGAACAAAAAGACAAAAATTCCTGCCCTTATGAAGCTCACTGTCCACGAAAGAGTATGAACATAATATTGATAATCTTTTCCTAAAGTAAATGAAGAAATAGATAGTCATTTTAATATTTGTTTAGGGATTTTGATGTTCTAAAACTGCTCTTAAACTCTTCCTCTTTTAGTTTTTCAACACATGTCCTGGAAATCAACAACTTAATATAGAAAATCCCTCATTTACATCAACCCCTATTTGTGGGCAAAAAGTTCTTATTACAACTCCTCTTCAGAAAGAAGCAACTCCTAAAGATCAAAAAGAAAATGTAGGGTAAGTAGGTATTAAATAATTGTGTTAGAGAAGATAGGGAGCATAATGCCAAGGGTAGCTCAGCTTTCTGTCCAAATAAATGGAGTGTTTCATAATCCCTACCCTTAGAGGGTAGAACTTTTTTTAAAAAGTCAAAACCTTGTGTTTTACCCTTAGGAAACTAAAAAATGGCTAAATATACTGTAAAATTTTGATTGCAAGCAAAGCAATTTTTTAACTAATGTTTTCTAAATTTTTTTTAAATATTTTAAGATGATTGATTGGAGTAAGAGTTATTTAGGCAGCCACACTTTCAGGTATGTGCTGCCAAAGCGAGCGTGAGCCGCCCCACTTCAAAGTAGCCCTAGAATGTTTAAGTAAACATGTACCTATACCAGGGAAATTTAATTATACTTCAGCTTGGCTTAAGCTTGCTATGTGAAATCAAATTGTGACTGTAATATAAATACGTAAATGATTGAATAGGTTTAGAACACCTACTATTAGAAGATCTATGTTGGGTACCACACCGAGAACGCCTACTCCTTTTAAGAATGCACTTGCTGCTCAAGAGAAAAAGTATGGGCCTCTTAAAATTGTGGTATGTATGCTCTTTTATTTTTAAGACTAAATTTTCCTAATTTTAATTAAAACATTGATTTTTATCACTTTTTAATTTTTAATATTTTTTTATTGGTACATGTTTGCAATATGTAATGATTACATTCCCTGTGGGGAGTTGGTATGTTTAAATAAGACATCTTAATGTTTTTTCATCTGCTTTCTCTCTCCTCTCTCCTGCCTCCCACCATTTCTTGGTCCCCTTTCCTTTGGCAAAAGATCTATCTCCCTGTTTCCTATTAGTTATCTTTTATTTTGTTCTTTAATTATTTATACTATGAGTTTCTCAAGAAGAGAAACCATGAGACATTTAAGCTTGTGTGTCTGATTTATTTCACTTAACATTAGGTGTCAAGGTGCATCCATTTTCCTACAATTTTTATTACTTTGATTTTTAGCATTTAAACAAAGATGTTCACTGAAGGTGAAACAGTTTTATTTCCTTAAAGTTTTTATTTTTGTTAATCTTTTTCCTTGACTGTAAGTAGCCTTTGCTTGGTTTATTTCAAGTTTTTGTGTATGTAATCTTAAGAAAGCAAAATAGTAGTTAAAGGAGCTTTTTCATAATATTAAAACCTACACTTAAGTAGTTTCAGTAACAGTTACCTGCAGTAGGATAACATAATTATTATATTTTGATGTATGTAGATGTTTAATACTACTGAGGAAGGTGATTTATCAGGGTGCTTCCCTAAAGCTCAGTTTCATCTTCTATGCAAAGGAGATCATAAAACATACCCCACATTTGCTTGTAAAGCTGAAAGAGATAATAGAAATGAAGGGGCTTGTCCTGAGTTTCAGGTAGAAGTATGTACTTAAGTTGCTAATTTTATTTTTTAATTTTATATTACTTTTTTTTAATGCTGGAGATTGAACCCAGGGCCTCCTGTATGGTAGGTAAATGCTGTGCTACTGAGCCACATCTCCATGTATTATTATCACTAGAGTAGTGGTTGCACTAGTTCATGAATGGCTAGAACTAGGAAGTGTTCTGGCTATTTGTACTTTTGTAAATATTGTTGCCTTTGAAACTTTAGGAAAGCCATGGGTATTCTAGACAAATACAGACTTTTGGTGAGTTCATTAGAAATCAAATGTGATTTTAAAAATACTGGTCAGTTCTAGGGTACTTTAGTTATGTTCTTTTTGGGGTAGATTCATTAGTAAGTTAGTATTATTTTGCCATAAAACTGATTAGTTAATTTAACTATCTAAAGAGAGTGGGAGAAGATTGTGCCAATAATGGAAAAGTATAAAAGATAGGTTTTCTTTCTTTCAAATGTTTTTTTGTTAGTACATGTTTCAATACATAATAAATATATTCACCATAGAGTATTGATACATATGATAGGTTTTCTATATATGGGGAGGAAAAAGGAATTGGCTCACAGCAACTTTTTAAAAACAATTTAGTCCCAGCCTCTTGCCTTCTTGGAGGAAGATATTCGAGAAGTTTTAAAAGAAGAAACTGGAACTGACATATTCCTCAAAGAGGAAGATGAATGTGCTTATAAAAGCTGCAAACAGGAGGTAATCTCTTAATATTATTGTTAATAAAAGTCCTTATGTCCAGTTGGTTTGGCTCTAATGTGTTGTAATTATTCTTTCTAGCATACTACTTCTGTGAAGAAAGTGAGAAAATCACTAATCTTGGATAATTGGGAAAAAGAAGAACCAGGCACCCAACTACTGACTGAAGACATTTCAGAAATGCCGGTTGGTAGAAAACTACTGTATTTTTGCTCATTGTATGTCTAGTTTATTAGAGATTCATAGAGTTGTCTTTAGTAGTATTCTGAATTCAGAGAATTAGTCAAGTATACTCCTTTGCTTTTAATACTTGAGTAGCTCTTTTGTGTATGATGTCAAAAAATGATAGTTTGCAAAACTTTTACCTTTCAGTATTTATCTTTATTTCATTCCCAAACTATTTACTATTACAGCATTACTATAAATTTTATTAGAGCTAGATGCATACGTGGAGGGAAATGACAGGGCTTCCGTTTCCACTGACTGAGTAGTCCCTCTGTTTGTTTCCATTTTTGAATTAGTTATTTCCCTCTTTCTTTTTTTTCTTAGTCACAAAATATATTCACAACATCCTTATTAGTGATACCACTATTGGAAATACATGACAGTAGGTGCAACTTGACTCCTGAGAAACAAGATATAAATTCAGCCAACAAAACATATACACTCACTAAAAAGAAACCAAACCCTAACACTTGCAAAGTTGTTAAATTGGAAAAGCATGTTCAGGTATGGATTTACAAATTTCTTTAGTGATTTTTGTTGTTTATTCAGTGATCACTTTAGACATACGTATCACAAATTATACTTTTCTCTTAAATTTGAAACTGACTATACTAATAACTAAACATTCATCATTTTTTTCACTTAAAGTAGATTTTGGTATATATCAAGTATGCAACTACAGTTGTAGCCAAACTTTTTAGTGCTTTCTTAAGTACTGTTTCCATTTTAGACTATAGATTCCCAATTCTGCTTCTGGCAACTCTTTTCCTATAGCAGATGTACATCTAGTTGCTATACTGAAAGGGCAAGTGGTTAGAAGCAGTTTCAGCGTGATTTTGTTGGTGTAAAGATTGCCAGTGAACTTTTTGGCTCAGAAATTGTAAAATAGTCCTTTCTCATGTTGCTGTGTGGCCAATATACAGGTATATGTGAATGCTGGAAAAATTTGTACTCAGTTACCTTAAGAGTTAACCCCAGAGAATATGAGAGCTAATTCAGGAGGAAGGTTTCTTCTTTATCCCGCAAAGCTCCAGCATTTTTAAGCATTTCTTAAAAACATCTCTGCAGTCAGATACGGCCCACCTCCCGTTTGTCGTGAGCTACTGCTTTCAAAGAGCCACGGAACATATTAATTCACTTAAAATGTTTCTGAGTTCCTGATGTTTAATTAACATAAAATTTGGGGGAAAGTTTGTCATGTAGCAAATCATACCTATAATGTAGTAATCTTTACTCTTTAAAATCTTCGTTCATTTTTTGACATTATATCTTCTCTTTAGCATTTTTTTTTCTTTTGGTGGTGCTAGAGCTCAAACAAGGCCTTGTTACATGCTAGGTAATTCCTCTGTGACTGAGCTCCATGCCCAGCCCCTCTGTCTTTAAAACTTTTTCAGAATTTTGAAGCAGTAGAGACTTAATGTGCCCTCGGAGGAGCTGTTGGGAACAAAACTTTTATACTGTCTCCAAAGGCCTGTGAGCAATATAGATAGTTAAAATAATTGACTTTAAAAAAAGATCAGAACTATTTTAGTATGTATTTAAAAATCATAACATGTTTCTTCATAAAGAAGAAACACAATGCCATTATCAAAACATTTGACAGTAGTTATAAAATACCCAACTGATGAAAGTAATTGATTTTTTAAAGTGAAGTAATATGGGCAGGTTTTTAGTAATTTTCAAGTCACTATTGATATTTTCTTCCTAGTCAAATTGTGAATGGGAAACAGTAGTTTATGGGAAGACAGAAGACCAGCTTATCATGACTGAACAAGCAAGAAGATATTTGAGTACTTACACAGCTACCAGCAGCACTTCAAGAGCTCTAATACTGTAATTCTTATTAAAACGGATGAAATGTCCCATTGCTTTACTGTATTTTATATGGAATTAGGTTACAATGAAATTTTTCCCAGTTATTTGTAAAGTTTTAATACAGCCCTGAAACAGTTTACATCTGTTTTCCATATTGAGCAGGCAGAAAAGCTAATAAGCCACTTAAGAGGTGGGCAATTTCATTGCTTATTTTTTTAAAGAAATGAGATTTTTAAAAATTGTTTTTACAGATAGGAAAAAATATTCATGAATACTCCAAAAGTAAATTCTCACACATTCTCTTCACAGGGTATATGTTGCTACCCTCTGGAGGCTGCAGTTTTGTTACAGACAAGTATATGAGAATGTGAGATCTCTGAAATTAGTCTATGCATGGAATGCACACATGTGCTGATTTACTTAGGCTACCATTCACAACGAAACACAGTGGGAAGGTGTCTAAAGGAAAACAGAAAGTTGCACTACTCATTCTTGGTATTTTTCAAACACAGTAAAATTAACTACAGTGTTAAGTGTATTTATTTGAGCATAGTACTTAAAAAGCGTTGAAAAGGGTTTTTTTTCCCTTAGTAAAGAGTCAGTATTTTCTTCATAAAATCTCAGAAGAGCTGAGTTTTGTTGAATGTATTGTATAGTATGTAGAAGCAGGAAAAAATTTGTAAATTGGAAGGAAATCTGTTTTTATAATTTATTTTCATTTTTAAAGCTTAAATGTAGATATTTATTTGTATTCAGGGTGTCTAGAAGTCAATGTTGTTTCCTGTCATTATAGATAACATAGTAAAGAATAATTTTGACCTTTAAATATGAAACAGTAAGTTATAGCTGCAAAGAATACAATATCTATACTGTATGTCACATCTACCTAAATATTGCACTATACCCTTTAAATCATGTTGGTTATAAAATAGTTTTAAAAATGTACTAAATAATAATTTAATATTTTCTTTTTAAATTATATTGGGGGTCATATAAATTAATCTGGTGATTTGTATATGTATTTGAAACTTTTGAATTTTGTTTAAAAATGATATGGTACCTTGGTCCCTGAGAATAGCCTGCACTTAGAAGTTTATTATATTTACTCAAAGTTTCAGAAGTAGAAAACATCTTTTATTTATAAAAATATTTTGTCCTTTTATAAATGTTTTATGTTTTTTTACAGGTTACAACAGTTGCTTCAGTTGCCTATTTTAGGTGTTTGCACTTATTTTATTTCTTGAAAGAATGTCTTTATTTGCTTTTGTCGTAGAGATTTTATGTAATTTTTTGAGACATATAATGGTGTGCTGTCAATTTAAACACTGACAGGTAAATAGAATTGTACACTGTAGTTTGAATTATTTATAATTGACACACTCTCTCCCTCTCCACTCCTGAAGTATGCTGCTATAAAAAATAGCAGAATCGGCTTGCTGCTATGAGAGATGGAAAGAGCGACCACCACTTGCACTGTGTGAAAAGATAAAAAGCAAATGATGGCAAGTTCTCAAGTTAACTTAATGGAATCAACCATTACCAGGCAAATTCTCAACAAATACCAAAATACTCTGCCTTAAAACGAAAAGAGTTTAAATTTTTTTGATGTGTTTTTATGTTAATAGAAATAGAAGTGCTGAGTATTTTAATGCTTAACTCTTGAACAATAGACCTATAAGGTTTTAAACTATTTAAATCCACTTGCTAGTTTTTGCATACTATATGTTAGTGAGAAGTAAAGAATATGTATGGTACTAAGATTATGCCTCATGATAACAGATAGATAAGCCGATTGAATCTTCTTAGCATGTTTTTTAAGTATGTTGGATTGCTTTCTAATTAATGAACTTCTCACAGAAAATTTCACTTTGTAAAACCAATGATTGTGGCAAAATCACACTGGATCATTCCAGTTACCTTGAACTAATAATACATAATGGCTTTTGTTCCTTGGTTTTTAGAAAATGTAGCCCTTAGCTGGATTGGATGCACATGGTTTCCAATCATCAGAGTATAATACCTTGGAAAAGTTACGTTTTTTAGAGCATAGTTTTTCTTGAGCATTAAGTTATCCCTAATGGTAATATATTGTGGATAAGCCTGGGCTTATTGGACCTAGTACATATTTGGGTTGGTATTGGTTGAATCTTCTAGTTAACCTGCTTTGTTGCTTTTGCAAGATTTTTAATCATAAACATGTCAGGCATCTTAAGTCACCTTTTTTTAAACTGTTGTGCTCATTTGAATTTTTTTCCATATGTTATAAAATGCCAGACATACATGTAGCAGCCATACTTGCATGGAAACTGACTACACATATATCATACTGCATTTTGTTTGTAAGGTTTTCGCATTAATACAGCAATTATCCTGATTACATTGAATTTTTTGGTATATGAGAAAATTTTCCTTTACAAGAGAATCTTGCATACAATGCTGACATTTATTAACATCCAAATAAAACATTGTGTACAAGCTGACTTGGCATTCCTTATTTCATTTTGGTTCTGTGTTTCCAAACCCTTAAGGGGTGAATCCAACATCCTGTTTTTAGGCGTTTTTCCCTCTGAAAACTCCCTTTACAGGTTATCTATTAATGTAGTGTGACTTCTTCACTGAGTGTCATTCATAACTGTATCTTCAGCTTCCTTTTAGATACTTCCATGTAACTCTTTCTTTCAATTTAGATCTGCCCTTTCTCTGTTCTTTCACTAAGTGATACTGCTGCTCTTTCTTCACCCATTGAGTAATCTCCCACCCTTCCATCATCCCCCTGCTCACGTTAAAATCTGTTGCAAATTCTCAGGTTGTATTAAGCCATTGTTCTAATTGTGTACCTTCATCCCCAGATAGTTCCTTTGAACTATTCCACTAATCATTCTGAGCTTCATTCTATAGAAATACCAAGAAACTGCACAGAGACACCACAGAGGCATCTGAGAGAGGCCGACTAGTCACCCAGTCTCTGCAGCATTGTATTCCCTCAGTGAATTAATCATCATCACCTTTAGGCCTGTAGATTCAAAAATCTGTTGGAATTAGCTCATCGGAAATGTTTACCTCTCTGTAGAAGGCTTAAATCAGCTTTCTAAGACTGATACCGGGTATCAGAATGCCAGTCTATTTGTAGTGAAATAAAACTGCTGAGATGACTGGGCACATTCTCACCTTATATTAATCAGAAAGAAACAAAAGAACATAAATATGATCATGTCACATGAAAAATTTTTTGTCTAGCATGTTGAGTAGAAAATTTTGCTAAATGTTAAAATAATTAAAAAGTTATGACTATCAGAAGACTAACCATAATCTGTATGAAATCTCTTCCTTTATCAGAAAACTATTACTTAAAATCTTTTAGCTCATTCTTACAACCATGTGGTTTCCTACTTGATTTACCCAGTTATAGAGTGAGGTCTGCTAGCCATTCAGACCTCTAATTTCTAATGTAAAACAAATAGTATTTGAAGAGGTGCTTCTTACTCTGAAGAGAAAATTTATTTTGTTAATAATTATTATTAGATTATGTAATAGAAAGTAAACTGAACCAAGTGGAATTCCACTGAAATATTACTTTCCCTAATCTTTTTAAAAAATTAGTACAGATATGCTTAAGAATATTTGAAATGTATCAGAAAACTAAGATAAAGTACACTTGGAAAAGATTACTCATGACTGATGTGCTAGGAAGAATGTTTTTGAAAACTTTAGTATCTTAGCACAAGAATATTAAAAACTGTTGAGTTTGAAGCAAACTCAGTAAAGTAGTGTAATGTACTGCCCTTATTTCTGAAGTTCTCAAACTTGTGTGCTTATTTAAGTTCCAAGTACAGAATGTACTTGGTTTGAATGGATTTTCCTGGCTAGCACAGGAAAAGAGGGAGGGAGATTCACTTTACTCTGTTTGAACTGTAATTTTGCCAGCAATAACTCCAAAGGTTTAGCAGATTCTGACATAATTTCCTAAATCCTAGGACAGTTAGCACTTATTTATTCAGTTTAACTGAGTGCTTACTATGTCCTGTGTTAGGTACTGAGGATATTGTGGTTAAACAGTATATGGCCCGTAAGGAGGCTGATACTGTATTCTAGGAGAGATAAATATATAGTAAAAATATTTCTCCTTTGGAAAAAAAAAAAAAAAAAAGACCAAGTAGCCAAGTTCTTTGTTACATGTGTACATGGTTGGGGTCTGCCTCAGCAGTGGATTTTCCCCTCCAGTAGGCAGAATTACCTGGGTTAAGTGGTTCATTGGAATCTTGCATAGACTAAAAGTCGTAGGCCAACCACTATGCTAAACCCTTTACAAATATAATCTCATTTAATTCTAGTAATCCTGTGAGATAAGCACTGTTATAATATACTTTTATAGACAGGGAAACAGTTTAAGAGGTTTATCCAAATTCACAATAAAATGCTTCCTCTAGACTCTTCATCTGAGGTTTGTGCTGATATTTAAGCTTTGGACCCAAAAGATTGCATAGTATGTGATTGCATTTTTATAAAAGAAAAATGGGGGCTGGGGATTTAGCTCAGCGGCAAAAGCGCCTGCCTGACAAGCGCAAGGTTGTGAGTTCGGTTCCCGGTACCGGAGAAAAACCAAAAAAAAAAAAAAAAGAAAAATGGGCAGAGCTAGTGTGTGCTGTTAGAATAGTGGTCACCCTGCCTGGGAGGGTTGTTGAAAGGAGCATAAGGAAGTTTTTAGGTTGCTGGTGCAATCAGCTCTGAGTGCTGATTTCATGCTTATGTTCATGGTTTAAAAATTCAACCTATTAATGATATGTGCACTTTTCTGTAAGTACACTATTCAAGCTTTAGAAATCAGGCCTAAGTTGGGTACCAGAGGAAACACTGCCCTTACTGCATGTGCTGGGCTCGTTTCTTCTAGTAAGCTCAATGTAAGCTAAAGCTCTACATACAAACGACTATTTTCTGTAGTGATTACAATACTTTTATCAGTAAGCTTACTCTGCTTAACTGCATGATCTCTCGACTCAAGCCAAATCCGATGGACACCATTCCTCATAAATAGAGTTGTTCATCTGTTACACTTTGCCTGGTCCCTTCCACCTTGAGGTTCCTGCTTTCCCTCTCACCCCCACTGAAATACCCGTATTCACTAAAGTTTGTCACCAAATATTCATCTACCTAGTGGAGGCCACTAGTCACTTTGTACCTCATCAACTACATTTCTTTTTGATACCATGTGTCTTTATCTGTTTATTTAGAGATGAGGCATTTTTAGCCAACACTCACTTATTTGCTCATGTGATTTACCCCACCTTCATTATTCCCGAGGTTCCCGTTCCCTCAGGGATAGAAGGCTAGCAGGTCTCTCCCACTTCACTGAACACTTCCTTCAGTTACTGTGTGCACAATGTCAGACAAGGGGACTTCTACATTTTAAAAACTTTTATTGAATCTGGTATATTAAAAATATTTAATGTGACTAATATACATTAAAGATGCATGAACACCCCTCCCCCTTTGTAAGTCTGCACTTACAGCAGATCTTAATTCAGACTTGCCGCATGTCGAGGTATCAAAGCCACAGCAAGGGGCTGCTGTATACCAGGCAGTGCAGTTCTACATTACAAGGAGTCTGCAGAGAAACGAAATTCTTTTTAAAATTCAGAGCAAGCACTATTTCATACCACAGTGGAACAACTTAATAATCAATAGTCATTGTCATTCCTCCCTGTCTTTAGAGTTTGCATTTAATCTCAATTCTCAGCGCCTTGTCCATGTCCCTAGCCTGGAAATAGAAATCTACGTTTTAACCCCTTACTGCCTTTCTCAGTGGACTGTGACGTCCCTGAGGCCAGGAGCTTTGTCTGCCTCACCATTCCATGTCCAGCACTTAGCACACCGCCCGGACATGCACAAACCGTCATGGGCACAACGGTGAGCAAAACGAAGGTGCCCTGCTGGCATGCTGAAGTCCTGGGAGGGTGTATAGACACAAATCTAAGTGCTATGACGAGAAGAAATACGATTCTCTAAGAGGTTGTGATAAAGGAAACTGACCTGTTTTTCTTGGGATAAAGTTATATTCGAAGTGATGGATCTCACAGATAAATAGACATGAGGTAAAGAGGCCAAGGAACACCAGCTAAAGGCCTGAGGAGTGAGCTAGTTCCATGTTCAAAGACCCTAAGGTCAGGGTGATTTCAGCAGTCAGGTCGGTGGAGGAGGGGATGGTGAGAGGAGGCTCCGGAAGTGGAGAGGCCAGACCTGGTAGGCCATGTATTTATTCCCGGGGAGCTGACTCTAACACGCTAACATGCAGGAAACACATTAGGGAGTGCTCCGATGACCAGTGCTGAGGAAGGGGTGAAACAGGGTTGGCAGGGGTAGAACTAAAGCTGCACACAGTCTCGGTGAAGGCCTCTGCTAAGGTATTGGGGGAGAGCTTCCGATTATCCCAAGTCAGGGTGAGAAAACCAGACCCTTACGGTCCTGGGTTCATAATAGCAAGTGGGCTGCCCAGGAAATGGGGCCTGCCCTTGGGGGAGCATGTGTCAGAAGAAGCAATTCCTTAACGAGTGTGTTCATGGAAGAAGGAGCACAATCATCTGCTGAGAGAAAAAGCAGGAACCATTGCTGCAGGAGGCTCGGTGAGTGAGCTCAGGAGAAGAAAGAGTGTTTGAAATAGTCCCTAAGAGAGAGGAAGGAATTCAGTTAGGACACAGTGGAACTGCAAAGCAGTACTGAGGGCTCATTGTAATTTGCATACATGAGTTCAGGCTCGTTGCTAGGTCCAGAATGATGCTTTTGTGCTAATTAATTCCCACTTGCCTCCTCAACTGGACACACAAACACAGGCAGAGAAGTCCTGGATGAAAGCATAGTGATATCCACCTCCCCTGCCTTTGGCATCCTCCAACAGGGAGACTCAGCTCCAGTGCAGCGGCAGAGAAAGCAGGCACAACATTCTTTTGGCAAAGGATGATAAAGAATGGAGAGTGCTAAAGTGCTAGCTGGCTCTTGCCTATAGTCACAGCACACTGAGAGGCTGAGGCAGAAGAATCACAAGTTTGAGCCTACCCCAGGGAACTTAGTTAGACTCTGTCCTAAAATTTTAAAATGATGTAGCAATGTAGTTCAGTGCAAAAATTCTGATTCCAATCCCCAGTACCTTAAAGAAATGGTTCATGGGATGGGGTAGGGTCTCTCTCAACTAGGAAGAACCGTGCCTCTTCTGAATTCCCCTTGCATCTTATACATCTCTCACTTGTGATTGTCATTGTTTCTGTTTTGTTTATTTTTTGCTAAAAGCACTTATGTGTACCTTCGCTCCGCTTCTAGAGCACCTGCTGGGACAGGGCGTGCTGAGATCAGAGTCCATGACTGCAGGAGGTATAGGTGCATATCTGGAAATGACCCTGCATCTTTCTAATTTTCAGGAGGGCAAAAGAACTATGGAATCTGGTTGGGGAGTGTTGGGAGAAGGACAGGCCCTTTGTCGTCTTGGTCTGCA